TGATTCGGTTGGCGACCAAAATCGGTTGGCGACCACATTCGTAGGGGTCAGAACGGATTAATCTTATTTACATTGAACCTTGTGGGGAAATTTGATTCGGTTCGCGACCAATTTGGTTCGCAACCAGAATCATGAAACGAATTAAGTTCGTGAACCGAAGTACCACTGTACCTGCCAACCTGAGGCCAAAAAAACCTAAAATGCAACCCCCATCCTTAAGAAAGTTGCTATTACTGCTGTCTGGGAATGCAAGCAAATAATAACCTGAGGACCACCATGGGTATGAAATTCAGTTGTGCTGTTGTATGGATGATCTCTAGCCCAGTTCAGGGATGATTGAGATATGATGCGGTAGCTGAATGAGGAAATTCAAGAAGTGGGGAGATGAAAGAGAAACAGAGGAACTCAGAGATGAACAAATCAGAAGTACAGCATTTATTTCACTGTAATATTTCTGAATGTATCTCTCCAACACATAACAAGTCAGGCATATCATAATCAGAAATAGGGCTACCTGATTGAGGCTGCCAAAATCTGGATAACCATAAGATGGCAGCAAAGAGATATAGACAACTCTAATCTATGTTTTTGTCTCCCAGAGCTGGCAGTCCTAACCAAGCTGCCAAGGTCAGGAAAAGGGATGCCAGCGGAGTGTATATCAGAACTGAGCTTAGTTGAATATGCAGTTTCTGTGGCTTTTTAATCTGCATCATTCTACAAATTAATTTGCTCAGAATGCTGATAAGAAGGGAGGGCTATGAAGCCGTTCCCACTCAAAACCGACATTCCTCCATTCCCTGTGCTAAACCTATCCCAGATTGGCATCTTATAAGACTGATTGTATAATTTACTTACACTATGTTGCGGACTGCCATTTCTAGACTTGCAGTTGCAAGAGCCGGGCTAAAGGCTCCTCTGTGAATGATAGCATGAAAATATAGCAACCTCTTCTTAATGGGATAAATTGGATCTAATTTTTCATTGGACTGGTCAGGAGAAGCTTCACTTGCCCGCACGTAGTCCATTTCAGTTCTCAGTTAAAGGGGAAATAGAACTGCTAGGATGTTTTGGCATCCTGTGGTTTCGTTGTTTGTTTCTTTTTTAATGAGATGTTTCTCTGCAGTTGCTGTCTGGCAGTAGGGAATATTGCCCAGGGACAATTGGGGAAAGAGAAACAAGAATAGAAATTACATTCTTGTCACTAACACCTCCCTCAGTTTGGGTCATGAGCAATGTTGAGAGATCTTTTTTGGATCAAAAGAGGATGTAGTTACAACAATGGCACATATCCCTGTCTCCTTTCTTCAGAAAGGCGAGGGGGTTGAGGAGGGGCATGGGGGGGGGGAAGAGCAGATTGTGATGGACAACGGGCAGAAGACTGGGGAAAAAAGACTGGAAATTTGCAGCCATTCTCTGCTTCCAGGCTCCGAATCTCAATTCAAGAGGCAGGTAGATGGGCCGTTGGGAATCTAGGTTCAAGGCGATGTGGATAAATGCCAGGTCTGTTTGTAATAAATCCATCCTCATCCATGACACAATCACCCTTGATTTGATCATAGATGAGAGACCACACCTGGCATGTGTTACCAAGACCTGAGCGAGTGAGGATGGGGGAGTTTCCCTGTCCAAGATGCGCTCACCTGGGTTTTAGGTGTTGCAGCCTTGAGAGAGGCTGATACAAGTTATTATTTGACCATACACTTTTCATCTAGCTGTATCTAAAATAAGGTAAAAGCCTTTGTTCTAGTAACAAATTGATCTGGTTATCCCAGGGCCATTCATACATCTCTCCCTGGGATGTTTTGCCCTTCATATGAGCTCAGAATTTGTATCTGATGTGGCTCTCCATTATGTTAATTGATATATGCATAAGTCATAGTTGCATGATTTTTAATTTGAGATCATGAGGACTAGGGGAATTCCAGGAAGGTATGCTTTCCCCCTGAATCATAAATACATGTGCCATTGAATTATGCAGTTCTTTTGTTCTAATTAAACAGCCCCAGGAGCTACATTCCAGTGAAGTTAACAAAGCTGGCCAATAACAGTTCGGTGACTGACTTTAATACTGATCAGTAGGAGATGTAATTACTGCTCCTTGAAGAAATGTTTTTATGAGTTCAGTCATGTCATGCATGTTTGTAAATTGACTGAAATAGAAACCTTTTTTGCTACTGCATAATATGAGGCAAATCTGTTCAGAGAACAAGCACACATGTGGTCATTCAAGTTATTGATGACAGTTTTCATTAGTAATTGTGCTTCCCCAACATAAATGGCATTTCTGAATGACAAATGTCTGTTGGTAAGCATTCCGAGTGCAGACACTTTCAGATTCTGCTAGGAGTAGGACTCCCTCTGGGCATTAAAGGAGCTTCTTTGCTGCATAAAATATGAAAGTATTTTGTATAATTGCTTTTAGCGTGTCTAAATTTGGATTTTAAACTCATTGTTTAACATTACTCCGTGCAGATCTAGTTAATAGCTACATCTGCAGAGATATCAATCATGATTCTTAGTTCATTCAGTTATTTTAAAATCCTGGCTAATTAACACTGTATGACTGTGCATACCACTGACTTGTGACCCGGTTAGCGGAATCCAGTCTTCACCATTCCAGCTTTGCCACCACGCTGTCATACAGCTGTTGTCTCAAATACAGACAGGCTGCTTGTTGCTTTTTCTGCTTTTCTTGTGTAATGTGC